AGTAGTAGTTTGGTTTTGAGAAATTGCCTTTATGTTCCTAGTTTTAGAAAGAACCTTGTTTCAGTTTCTAAACTCGTTATGGATGGTTTTTCAGTTTCGTTTGATGACATGGTTATTATTCGTTTTGAAAATCGTTTCATATGTTGTGGTTCATTAGTTGGCAATTTATATGTTCTCAAACCGAACTCTCCCACAGTGCAACATAATGAATTGAATAATGTCATAACTACATCTAATAAGAGGAAGGAGTCTTCGCAGATGAATCAAGCATATCTGTGGCACCTTAGACTTGGACACATCAACCTTAGGAGGATTCAAAAGTTAGTGGCCAGTGGACATCTCGGTCCATTGGAAGAGCACTATCCAACTTGCGAATCATGCCTAGAAGGTAAGATGGCCAAGAGGCCGTTTACGGCAAAGGGGTATAGGAGCCAAGAAGTGCTAGGATTGATTCATTCTGATTTGTGTGGTCCTATGTCGATCCAGGCTAGAGGAGGTTTCGAGTACTATGTGTCTTTCATAGATGATTACTCGAGATTTGGGTACGTTTATCTGTTGCACCGCAAGTCCGAATGCTTTGAGAAATTCAAGGAGTATCGGGCAGTTGTGGAGAAGCTTCATGGTAAATGTATCAAGTCACTTCGTTCTGATCGAGGTGGCGAATACCTTTTTGGAGAGTTCAGGACATACTTATCGGAAGCTGGGATTGAATCCCAACTGACTGCACCCGGCACGCCCCAGCAGAACGGGGTTGCAGAGCGAAGAAATAGGACACTTATGGAGATGGTTAGATCTATGATGAGTTATTCGAGGTTACCAGATTCGTTTTGGGGAATGGCGCTGGAAACAGCATCGTACATTCTGAACTTGGTTCCATCGAAGTCAGTTGATACTACTCCTTACGAATTGTGGAAAGGGCGTAGGCCAGGCTTTTCACATATTCGGGTATGGGGTAGTCCTGCACACGTGTTAGTGCAGGAACCTGGCAAGTTGGAGAAACGTTCGGAAGCACGAGTTTTCGTAGGCTATCCCAAGGAAACGAAAGGTGGATTATTTTATAGTCCCGGGGATCAGAAGGTGATCGTTTCGACGAACGCTAGATTCTTGGAAGAAGACTATATTATGAATCATAAGCCCGCGAGTAGACTAGTCTTAGAGGAGTTAAGGGGTGAAAGCGATGGTTCCCCACCGAGTGCGCAAGTAGATACATCACATAATACTGCAACACGACACACTGAGAGTGTACCAGTGCAGACAGTGCCTCGTCGCAGTGGGAGGGTTTCTCATTTACCCGACCGATGGATAGGTCTTGGAGAGTCGTCAGACTCAGTTCCAGGAGGCCTAGAATCGGACCCAAGAACTTACGATGAGGCACTCCAAGATAAAGATGCAGATTCATGGAATGTTGCAATGAAAGCTGAAATGGGGTCAATGGACTCCAATCAGGTCTGGGATCTTGTAGAACTACCCGATGGGGTACGACCCATTGGATGTAAGTGGATCTATAAGAGAAAGAGAGGATTGGATGGGAAGGTGCAAACCTTTAAAGCTAGGCTTGTTGCGAAAGGTTATACCCAGATCGAGGGTATTGATTATGATGAGACCTTTTCGCCAGTAGCTATGCTTAAGTCCATTCGGATTCTCTTGGCTGTAGCCGCTCATATGGACTATGAGGTCTGGCAGATGGATGTCAAGACAGCTTTCCTTAATGGGAACCTGCAAGAAGACATCTATATGCAGCAACCAGAGGGATTCATTGCTGAAGGTCGTGAGCATCTAGTGTGTAAGCTTAATCGGTCTATTTATGGACTGAAGCAAGCTTCGAGATCTTGGAACATCCGTTTTGATGAGGTGATCCAGTCGTACGGGTTCACTCAATGTCCGGATGAGCACTGTGTTTACAAGAAAATCAGTGGGAGCGTGGTGGTGTTTCTTGTGCTTTACGTAGATGACATACTGCTTATTGGAAACAGTAAGAAGGAGTTATCAGACGTAAAGGTGTGGTTGTCTAAGCAGTTTGATATGAAGGACTTAGGTGAAGCAGGACACATTCTTGGTATTAGGCTCATTAGAGATCGTAAGAAGAGAATGTTGTGCTTATCCCAGTCTTCATACATAGATACTGTCTTGGCCAGATTCAGCATGCAGGATTCCAAGAAAGGTATGTTACCTTTCAGACATGGAATACCTCTATCTAAGGAGATGTCTCCTAAGACGTCTAAGGAGATAGAGGAGATGAAGACAGTTCCTTATGCTTCGGCAGTAGGAAGTCTCATGTATGCAATGCTATGCACAAGGCCGGATATTAGCTACGCCGTTGGCATGGTAGCTAGATATCAAAGTAATCCAGGACGGGAACATTGGTCTGCGGTGAAGCATATACTCAAGTACCTGAGAAGGACTAAGGAGTACATGTTAGTTTACCGTGCAGGCAGCTTGTTACCTCTGGGTTACAGTGATTCCGATTTCCAGTCAGATAAGGATGAAAGTAAGTCAACCTCAGGTTATGTGTTTACCTTGGGAAGTGGAGCCATTTCATGGAGGAGTGCTAAGCAGAAATGCGTGGCAGACTCCACCATGGAAGCCGAGTACATAGCAGCCTCAGAGGCAGCGAAAGAGGCAGTTTGGCTCAGGAACTTCTTAGTGGACTTAGAGGTTATACCGAGTTTGCCACGTGGTATCACCGTGTACTGTGATAACAGTGGAGCAGTAGCGAACTCAAAAGAACCTCGAGCCCACAGGGCAAGCAAACACATAGAGCGCAAATACCATCTGATTCGGGATATCGTTGGTAGAGGAGACGTTGATGTTGCCAAGATTGCATCAGAGGATGCATGGCAATAGGATCGACATAGGTCTTTTAGAATAACGGATTGATAGGACTATACTGTAAAAGCGAAAGCTTTAAGTATAAGTGGGAGATTGTTAGTGTTATATACTGAAAGCTTGGCTTTGCATGTTATTACACATTTACCCTTTATGAATGAGAATCATGTTAGATTAAACAAGTTCTACGTTCTGTTGTTCTGCACTTAGATAGGGTGGGTCGTCATCGGGCGAACCGAAGATCACTCTATCAGTCACTTGCGAACAAGAATAGTTGTTCACAACCTAGATGGACATGAACACCCCATCCGAACGGTTGTAGTGTCAACTGTACAGTTTGTCTTGACTGATTAGTTGCACTAGTACATTTATGTATTGAACAGGATCCCAGAGAGGAGAAGTTCATTTTATACTGATCGTCGTAAATGAACTAGGCCTCGGTTAATTACTGCGTTCTCTTAACCCGTAAGATATTAAACAGGCAGATATATATAATATATATTACTTTGATTCACATGGGTGAGGTTCAGTTCGCTGGATTAATATTCCTACTGTTTTGGGTAATATTATTATATATAGGATGTGCTGTTAGGATATTTACGGTCACCATGTGCGTTAGTTTGATGATGTCCCCGGAGTGAGTTCATGAAGGATTGTTATGCTAAACCCTGCAGGTGGATTAAATTCCGGCATAATAAGAATGTGATGAACGAGCGCTAGCTTCGGTGAAATAATAATAAATTAATTAATTCTTGATTGTCAGTAATCGAATTAATTAATGGACATTATATCTTAAACGTGGGGAGGTAAATCGAGTAATTATTATTGGAGTCTCAAATGTAATTTGGGCTAGGGAAAGGGAGTGCAATAATATAATGTTGGTGGCCCATTAATATTATTTAATTAATTAGAGGAGTGGGTTTGGCCCACAGTTAGTCTAATTAATTAAGGAGCCCTTTTCCTAATCTCCTTAGGGTCCCTACTGTAGCTCTATATATACATCATTAAGCTCATGAGAAGAGAATAGAATTCATTCTCACGTGAAACACGCCTCTCTCTCTAGATCTCATTCGAGCTTTATCTTCTTCTTGTTGCTCCACTGGTACAAGTTGAAGAAGGGTGTATTGAGTAATACAGTAGAAGATCTGTAGGTAAACCGAGACGAAATTGATTTTGACCTACAGAACTAACCGGAAGTCCGATTGAGACGTACAGTATACCCAGACGACCGTCTCGACGAGAGCTTTCCATCGCCGCCGACGTCGCCGGAATCCGACGCCGCACGCGCCCTCACGCGCCGCCGGAAGGTGTCTGGCAGCAAAATTTCGTTTTGATCTGTTTGCATCCGTTTGATCCAGTTTTGATCTGATCTTGTTCGTGCAACCCAAGACGCGTGTTGCGGTCAATCAATTGCGGTCAACCGTTCGTGGTCAACCAGATCTACATAAATTTTAAGCCGTAAGTTCTCTACGTCAAACCTTTAGATCCGCTGCGCATAGGTTTACGTTTGCTATTGAATTCGTGATTTGTACATAACGAGATCCTCACAGATCCCAACAACCGAGTGGTTTGGGCAATTTCGGGGTCGATCCATCTGGCTGCGGGATTCACAGTTGCCTTGTTTCCGTTGGTTTAGTTAGGTGTCGATACTTTGGAAGGGCTCTTTGTTGTTTTCCTTTGTTTTGTTGCTTGCGTTTGTGTTAGTAATGTGTTTTTGGTCCGGGTCTTTTACCCGAGTGTTTCATGTCTTGTATTTTTGGTCTGGGCCGTTGGCCTCTGTGTGAGCGGGAGCAACTTAGTATCCTGTGGGGACCAGCTCCTGTCTCTATTCTCCTGTGATGAGCTTTTAGTTGTAGATTTTCTGTATGTTTGTTGTTTCGAGTGTCTTGTTTTGGTTGCTAGTATTTGCTAGTGTCAAGCTTCTAGGCGGTCGTCAGACCTGTCCTCCCATTTTATTCAGTTTTGGGCTGCGTTCCAAGTTGTATCTTTGCACATTTGTGCGTCTGTTATATAAATTCTCTATCGTTTCGGCCAAAAAAAAAAAAAAAATCTGCCCAGCACACACATATTCCTTCTCTGCAATCTATCACGCAATACACCAAAACACAAAACTCTCATATTGTTCCATAAATTTTGTTTTGATGGATGAAAACATTTGGAGAGCATTTCTGTACCGCATACGGATCTTGCTTGCAATCCTAACCCCACCGATTGCCACCAAAGAGCCCGGGTCACCGAACGTCACGAACAAAACCCCAACCTCGTGTATCGAACAATTCACTTCGAATTGCAAATTACACATATCGACCTCCGAATTGCAGAGAACAACCCGACTGCCGGAAAATTGAGTCACATACCTAAACATCAAACTCAATTAATTTAGTTGACAATTTCGCGACGGTATTGAATGAGAGGAAAGTGTTATCCTTGACCACTTTCATCCTCAAATCGGACTACTGCAACACATTCATCCCATTCCCCCTTAAGGTTTTCTTCCTTCCTCTTCAATGCTGGAGGGCCACCTGAAGGCTCGACTGCGTGGGGTGAGTTCGGATTCCATTTAATTTGCTCCTCGAGCTTTTGTATTTGGGAGAATAGTTTCTCGAGGAGTTTTCGACGTTTCTTAGATCTTTCCCTCTGCCATGGATTTTATTTTTTTTAAACTCACGAATACTAGAACTGAGTTTGATATAACCTTTTCTTTTTTTTGAATTTATTCATCACGTATGAAGATTTTAGATTTGCAACACGAGTTAAAACCATGGAAAACGAAGAACATAAAAAAACAAAACCAACAACAACAGCAAAAAGAAAAACGAATGCCTAAGAGCACCCACAATGCTTTGGGTCTCTTAACAAAAAATCACATGCCACATGGGAAATAGATTTAGTTTATAAAAAAATATTTCCCAATACAATTAAAAGTGGACATGGTCTAGCTTATGTGGCAATGAAAAAAAGAGACTAAGTCCACACTTGGGTCTATTTTGGACCCAAGTACAAACCCAAACACTCATCATTTGTTCTTAATTTAATTTTTTTTAATGAATAAAACATATTAGAGCATTTCTATTGGTTGACATGTATGCTAGACCTTTTATTTTTGCATTGCAAAGTTTTTGAGTTTTTTTATTTGAGTTTGTCCATGTCATTTAAAACTCAAATCCAATTATATGCCACATATACAAAAAGAGATCCAAAACGTTGTGGATGCTCTAAGAAGAAAGAGAAAAAAATATGAAAAAGTTTCGGACGGTTTTTTTCTCTAAAACTGATGACAGACATTATGGAAGTTGTGCCAATTACAAAAAAGAAAAAATAAATAAAAAAATAACCACCGCCATATTTTTAAAAGCCTTTAATCGTCCATAAAAAAGGTATAAATGGAAACAGAGGCGCTAATTTCGCCTAAATAATAATTAGGATTAGTAATGTAAACTCTTTATGGAAAGAGTAGGGGTGTCCTTAATTCCGTCCATAAAAAAGCTATAAATGGAAACAGAGGCGCTAATTTCGCCTAAATAATAATTAGGATTAGTTATGTAAACTCTTTATGGAAAGAGTCAGGGGTGTCATTAATTCCTTCCATCATGGCCCCAAGGAAGCCCAGCTTAAATTCTATCTGGGCCCGACCCTCATACAGTCATACGCACATAAGTGTCATGGTCGGCACTGCACCGTTGGATTTAATCCCCACCATCCATCTTACACAGTTAAATTGTATCTCATCTACCTCATACCTAATTGCTACCCTATTTGCGGCCGCTATCCCGTCTTATCCGAATTCCACTTCTTCACTGTGAGAGTCTTTCTTATTGACCTTTTTTTTTTTCTTTGTGAGTGAACGGTGACTGAGAGTCATGGTGAGTGAGAACCGTCGCGCCGCCATCGTGCCGCCGCACCGTCGCCTAGCTCCACTTGTCGGCTAGAGCCCCTTTCGTGGGGGCTTCCAGGCGAGTCTCTGTGTGAGAGAGGAGAGCTGTGGTGACGTTGTGGCCGGGTGCGTGGCTCGTGTGGGAGGGGCAGCCTGGGGATTTGGCAGAGCAACCGGTGCCGCCGTCCTTGACCACCACCGAGCCGCGATTAAGGCGAGGATGCCGGAAGAAGGACGATCTGAGCAGTACTTCATGCCCCTCTTCGTCATTCGTCCGGTAAAAGGGAGTTTTCGCTTCTGTCTCTTTGATTTCTTATTTTTTCAGCACTTTATTGTTGACCCTTTTTAGATTTTGTTGTTACCCACCATTTGCTTCTCTCTCGGCGGTGGTCCATCTCTACGTCTGAGTCAGTCAGTGTCTCAGCGGTGGTTGAGCAGAGCCCAGAGACCAGTTGGTCATCCCTCTCCCACATGTGCTCCAGTCGGCCACGCCCCAGTCAGTGACGCTTCAGTACAAAACATTATTAGTTTGGGTCCTAATTACTAACTCAATTATGTATTATTGAGTAAATTATTTTTTAAATACTAAATATTGATTAGTATTATAATTGTAAAACTTGGAGATTTATAAGAAAAAAGTATATTAGGGTATGATGCAAGTTAAGAACAAAAATTATTTTGAAAAAAAAAAATAGAATGATTAATATTATTTAAATTTTACTGATTTTATCCCCAATTTTCACTCTTCATGATGAAGTTGCCCCATAGTTGAACCGTACCTAAACCCGTTGTGCTGAGTCGAGCCACGCTCGAACTTGGCGGCCATTTGGTGCTCTTTTTAATGTATGTGTTTGACCCAAAATCCGATAAATATAGTTTCAGAAGCCCAGCCCACCCATGCTCGTTGAATTAAGAATTCCTTTCTTTCGAGCCCAAATTTGGTCACTCTCTTAAAAATTAAAAAAACAGAAACCAAAACCAAATTTTAGGGTTATAAGAAATCGGGCGTGAGACCACAACAACATCCAGATCCAGATCTGTATAGACACGCACAAACCATTCTGCAAAACCTGACTGCTCATCCGTGGCAAACGCAAGTCGCGACCTCCTTCCCTCTACGACTCCTCTACAGCTAGTAAAGAGGTAATTTTACTCATGAGAGTTTGTTAATGGTTAGGGATTTTTAGTT